GAAAACTCAAATTGCAAAAGTTAGGCCACCACTCTATAAATGGTATGTCAGGCCATTTCTAGGTCATTTTGAAGTTTTTGCAAGTTGGGGTTTCTAGGCCACCACCTTAAAAAGCCTAGAAATGGCCTGATATTCATCTAGTGTGTTTTCTGGGCCATTTTGAAGTGGTGGCCTAACTTTTGCAAGTCGGGTTTTCTAGGCCGCCTAGAAAAACAAAATTTCAAAAGTTAGGCCAACATTTGATTTTTTTTTTCAGAACCTTGCCACGTGGCTCACAATGCTCGACGGCAAACCCCGAGCCCCAACGTCTAGCAAAGATCCAGCGGCAGTCGCTCTAAAGGTGGACATTGAAAGTTGCAACATTCCAGTTCTTATCGTTGGTACCAAAGCAGATCTTGTCCCTCATAAAGGTCCAGTTAGCTATGATAGACTTCATATTGACTCGTTAAAGGTGAGCTGAGCAATAGATCCCAAGCATTATTCTACATTCTGATTTTCAGACCATAATCCGTAGCTCTGCCAACTCGATCACCCTCGCTCGCTTCTTCGACTCCTGCCTGGATCGCACTCGTCGTACTACATCTCTCAACTCGTCATTCTTCGCCAAACCCCGTACGATCACCCCGAACACATCGATGGTGTCCTCTCCCCCTTCAACGTCTTCTGGAACAACGCCATCTGGAGCGTCTTCTGCAAATGTGACGAATCGGACGATGAGCCCGTTTACTACTATTCCTATGGGATCTTGAGAATTTTTTGGGAGTTTATGACGTTTTTGTTGTTGTTTGTAATCTATAAAATAACATATTGCTTTGATTGGTACGGGAGAAATAAAGTATAAATGTTTTATTGGAATTGAATCTATTGAACAGCCTTGGCGCTGAAATCAGCTGGTGGTTTCAATAAAATTTTCGAAAACTGAAGTCTGAAAATAATTAAAAATCTAAAATTATCGACTTTCTAGACCCTGAGTTATAGCCATTTGAAGTTTGTTTTTCGTTGGAACTTTAAAATTTAAATTTTTGCATTTTGAATTTTTTTTTTGAATTTTCCAAACTTTGCGAAAATACAAATTCCCAAAAGTGTTTTAGTCCAAAAATGACTTCTCTACGGCATCTAGACGCCGAGTTATAGTCATTTGAAGTCTAGAAGGTGAGAGACGCAGACAACGAGACACTCTAACTGTCTGCGTCTCTTCAACAAACTTCAAATCGCTATATCTCGGCTCGAAGACTCTAACTCGAAGACTCGAAGGCTCTTGGAAAAGGTTTCAAACTTGGGAAAATTGAAAACATGTGTCAACTTGTCAAAGTCCACTGAAAAAGCGATTTTTGGTACTGAAACGGAAATTTCAGCACTTTAGTAGTTTCTCAAGCATATATTTTTCTTAAAATCGCTCATTCTTTTATACAAAGTTCGAACTTTTTTTTTCATCGAGTCTCATTCGCTTTAATCAAGCTTAACAATTAACAGATGATCGAGACGCACACATAACTTCATTTCATATTAATCAAATAAGAAGCACAATCAGGAGTAAAGCAATGAGAGACGATTGATTCGATCCTTTGTCTTCTCCATCTCCATTCTCTCCCATATTTAATGCTTTACACAAACCGACAGGATTCGGCCCATTTGGACAAGCACTTCCTGGCGCTCCCTTCTGGAAGTTAGATTCAGAAGGGTTTTTTCTGGAAAATAAATAAATAAAAACGAATCTTTCTTTTTATGCTTACTTGGGCCCTACAGCACACAGATGTTGTTTGATTGTTTTAATCAATTTATTCAACTGACTTCTCTCCAGTTTTCCTCTTCTTTTATAGCCAAATTTGAGATCTTATCTCATTTGAAACCGATTCATGTCACGGCTATATTTTTAGTGAAGATTTATGTTGTTCAGAAATAGGGCAGGTCCCTTTTTATAATAATAGAAAAAAAGAATACTTTTTTCCAGATCATTTATTTTCTCGGCGTGAAAAGCTAATATACTTTCTCACAGTGGTGTTTCCGGAAACTTTCTGAAGGTAATTTTTTTCCGGATAATTTGACATTTTTCTCGGAAAATCGTATTTTCCCAAAAACAACAAAAAAAACATGAAATTGAAAGGAAACCGTTCCCTTCTCTAAATCCTTCTATTTTCATGGCGAAAACTCAATTTCATGAGATTTCTAATTATAAAAAATAGGTATGTTGATATAATAGTGTGATAAGTGTGTTATTATTTAATTTTAAACCCAATTTTCAGAATATTCAATTGGACGAACTGGAAAATCAAGATTACAACTTTGAGCTTAATTTTCTTGATTCCTGTGAAATATTTAACATTCTGTCTACTGATAAATTGTTTACCATAATATAACCAAAATTTCATCAGTTGACAAAATTTGTGCACAATTGTGCACAATTAAAATACTCCGGTGTTTCTTGCTTGGTCGGACCTAACAAGGGAAGTGTTTTCAGACGGGGGTTGAGAATTTACTCAAAATTTTAGTACTTATAGTTTGAGACTCCCTTTACACGATGTCAGAAATATCTCGTCCCCGGATTCACCAGGAAGCTTAAAATCTTCGTCTGAAATTTTTATACCGATTTCGCGCTCTCCCTCTCTCCTCTATCCCCCTCCCTCCTCTACGCCCTCCGCGCCAGAGGAAAATGTCGGCTGTGTGGTTTCACAGGTCCTGGGCGCGCATACGCATAATGGATGGGCGACGGAGGACGCGCCGATGAATTGGGTACAGGGAAAGGGCGCCGGTATGGGGCATATACGGGGCATATGGGGCACACCGCCGCCGCAAAGCATCTCCTCGCCTGGCTTGCTGGCACTCGATGAAATGAACTAAAACGTTGGTTGGGGGTTCCTAGAAGTATCAGTTAAGTTCTATTGTGATGTGATTTTGTTCAGGTCTTCCGATTTCGTACTTTTCCTTTATTTTTCCATATTCTTTTATATTTTGAACGACATATTACTGATTTTTCGAAACTCAATGTTTTGGTTTTGAAAAAGACTTATGGCAGTTTCCATTTAAATTTGATAAGCAATCAAAAACAGAAGAAAATGGGAAAAAATTCGCTAAAAATTGTTTTTTTTTCATTTGTTCAAAAATATGTCTCACTTTCACTTTTTTGAAATCGCATGAAAAATCGAAAATTTTTATAATTTACACTTTGTAATTATTGTATACTTACCAACTTACATTTTATTCCACCTGAAAGTACGATTTTTAAAATAACTACAAAGTGAAATAAAAAATCTCAATATCACCTATTTTGGCGAAAAACATAGCAATTGACGAGTGAAAGACATGTTTCTGCAAGAATTCAGCGATTTTTTAGTCTGCCATAACTCTTTTTCACAAAAAACGTCGAAGGAATAATCGAAAAACCAGAAATGTAGGCTCGAATTGACGAAAAATTGACAAAGTTGCCGGTGTGGATTTATGGTAAACAATGCGCGCATCCGGGATTTCGGAGTGTTGTAGTCGGCCTACCGTATCAGACCCATATCGCACACATCGCCCACACACCTAGAATCCATCTAGGATACGCGTGCATTCGGAACACTCGATTCAGCCTCTCCCACATCGCACACATATGAGACTCATCGCAGCTCATTGTTCGCGATATGTGTCAAACGGACTTCTAGAGGATCGCATATGGATCGGGTCCTTTATGCGCATCATCGCCCAGGACCTGTGTTTGTGGTAAGAGGGTGACTCATTAGGAGTGAATATGCTGGTTCGAACCCCGCTGTGGTAAAAACTTTATTTGCTTTTTTCGAAACGAATTTTTGATTTCCAGTTTGGCCCGCTAGACACTTTATGATACAATTTGATGAATTTTCAAAATTTTCAAAGTAGAAAGAAGATTTTATGAGAACTTGATGAAACATTTAATAATGATCTTTTCGACCGGTTCTTACATTCTCCTATAGTTAAAAAAACAAAGTTCTACCCTCTGGAAACTTCTCAATTCTACCCTTTTCGAAATGTAGTACTTCTAAATCGATCAAATATAACTTTTGAACCTCTTTCTATAGATTCCAGTCAATTTCAAGCAATATTTGAGAAGCTAGGGGTTGTCAAGGTTCTAGCAATTACGACTCTTCGGAGATTTTTTGAGTCCAAAGACGAAATTGGGATGTCAAATATTGTGAGAACGCTATTTTCATCGTTTTTGAATAACTGGGACTTTTTTTGAAACTTTTCAAAAAAATTTCAAAAAATCATTTTTGAAGTGTGGGGCACCCCATGGAGATATTTTTCAAAAATTTTCAAAAAAATGTTTTTTTTGAAATTGTTCAAAAACTATTCTAGATAATAGAGAAATGTTCAAAAATGAGGTTCGCATTCGAGAACATCATGAAAAACAAGTTTTAAAGCTCGGAAAATGAACATTTTTGGTCAAAATTTAGCACTGAAAACACTTTGAGAGACCATATTTCGATTCTTATCGGATCCGGGGATGATATATTGCTGAAGCCGTTTTCAGCTTGTTCGAAAGTACCTTTTCACAAATTTTGAGCAAATTCTCAACCCCCGTCTGAAAACACTTCCCTTGTAAGTAAGAATGTTTTCACATTCCATTTCAGGAGTCACAATTTCAGAAGTTCGACTTCCGAACCTGACTACCCACGAGGATCATCGGGGTCTCAGTGCCCTAATGGAAAGGCTTCCAATGGTGCAAAAGTAAAGGGAAGGATGGCGTTAAATCCAGCTCTGCAATGATCACTTCTCTTTTTCTTTTCTCCTTAATTGCATTCTTGGCTCTTTTCTAAGATTTCAAATAAACGAATTTTTTTCCCCATTTTTTATTTGATTTAAAAAATACCGTGTACCGTAAAACTTGTATTAGAAGGGCCGGTCCTTCTATTTTTCCAAGTTGCCTCCGGAGGGCCATTCTATTGTAAGGGCTTTTCAATTAGAGGGTTTTTTTTCTATTGTTCCGGCCATTTTTCCAGGAAATTTTTTTATTTGACGAATTTACGTTCAACATTCATGAAATCTATCATTTTCTCCAAAATCGAGCAAGTTTTTTTTATCAAAAAATTGTCTTTCAGCAAATTTCTAGGAAATTGAGGAATTTCCGGAATATTTTTCATGGAAAAAGACGAAAATTTTTTTAATTTTAAATACACATTTTGAAGGAGATCCTTCTTCACAGAGGGCCCTTCTATTACATGAGTCCCTTCTATTTTTTCAAGTCCCTCTCGGAGAGCCGTTCTATTAGAGGGGAACTTCTATTGAAGGGTCCATTCTAATACAAGTTTTACCTTATTGAAAAAAAACACCAATTTATTTCCGATCCCAAAAAACACCAAGTTCACTAAACCATCTCAACTTCCAGCTCCTCATTGAATCTCACACATTTGTTCTTGAAATCCACGTTGGCACAATACGCAGTCAGAATATCCACACCAATAATAAGGACACATCCCAAAGAGCACTCTTCAAAAACTGCCAGGACTACTGGAAGGAAATAACCAGAAAATTCTAGTTCCACTGAAAATAATTTTTTTGATCTACATATTAGATTTATTTTGATCTACAATACCATCCAAAATCTTGCCCAAAGCTTGGCTAACTCCTCCAATCCCTTGAGCATCCACCTGAAATCTGGAATCCAATTTTTGGAAAATCCCACACTTCTCGGCGACTGATCTAGTAATTATGGATAATTGGGCGCCTGGAAAAATAAAAATAGGGCACATGAAATTTTAGGTCATTAGACACTAGGCCATACCAGTATCCACAAGAGCTGTAATTTGGAATCCTTCGATTTTCAAATTAATATGTGGCATTGGAGATTTAACGAAAAACTGCGACAGTTTGTCAGTAGCATTTTTATAAGCTCTGGAATTTTTGATTTTTGAAAAATCCCGATTTTTTCAAAATTTACTTTCTCAATTCTTTCAAAACTTTGTATTTTTCACATTCCCTGTGATAAATCATCAGATTTTGGTCACAATATGGGCTCAGGTCCTGAAAAACAATTTTTCAAAAAAATCTAAAAATTTTTGGTAGGATTCTTACAAAATGCGCTCCATTGGACTCTTTGGCGCTCCAAATTTCTGTGTCCCCACATAGAACCAAAAAATCGATACTGTATCGATTGAAGTTATTAAAAATAATTGTTTCCATACGGTCTTCTGGAGAGATCTGGAATTTTTTTTTCGGAAATTTAGACTACAAACTACAGAAAGACTAAAGACTATGAACTACAAAAATACTACAAACAATTAACTACAAATTACAAAAACGACAACAAACTAATACAAACTACAAAAAGACGGCAAACTATAAACTACAAAAATACTTCGAACTGCAGAAAGGCTACAAACTACAAAAAGACTACAAACTACAAAAAGTCAATAAACTACAAAAAGGCTACAAACTAAAACAAAAAAAATCTAAACTACAGACTACAAAAAAACGTTTATACTACAAACTACAAAGAAGATTATTACCTCGATTTTCTTTATGGGAATCTCCTCCTCATCTGTAACTAGTCCAATTGAAATATACATCATTTTTGGCGTTTTTAATAATTTAAATTTTAAAAAATCAGAATTTTTTTTTCAAAACTGGAATTTTTTATGGAATCAATTTTTTTTAGGTTGAAAACTTTTCAGCACGTAAAATAGACAATTTTCAGAAACCAAGATCTCCTGGAACTCGGAAATTTCGATCAACCGTAAAACCTGTATTAGAAGGGTTTGCACTTCTATTGTTCCAAAATACCTCTGGAGGGACCTCCTATTACATGGACCCTTTAATTAGAAGTTTTGTTTTCCACTGGAAGAGTGCGAAAATTTTCTGATTTCAAAACACATTTTGAAGGAGTTCTTTTTTCACAGAGGGCCCTTTTATTACAGGAGGTTCTTCTATTTTTCCGAACCCCCCTCGGAAGGCCCTTCTAATACAGGTTTTACAGTTGTTTTTAATTTTTTTGAAATTCTGAAAATTTATTTGAAAATAAAAAATGCCCATCTTTATTCTCATGTTTTAATTATCTGCAATTTTACAAACTGAACTTTAAAAAATAATTTAAAAACATTAATTAAAAATTTCCGAATCCACGAAAATCCTATGCTCGTCGGCGTAATTGCTCATTTCCTGGGAAGCTCTCACAATGCTCCTGGCCTAAAAATTTACGTAATTACACCCCAATTAACTCTCTAATTACCTTAAACATCGCCATCTCGAATTTCCGTCCATTTTTGATTTCAAAATCCTGGACACACTCCGCATCTTTACACATTTCAATCTCGTCAGCGAGGTACGTAAGCTGAAAAAGTTATTAATGGCCTAGAAATCCAAAAACTCGGCCATCACTCACTCTATCGATCAGCTCGGCCTCTGGTGCAGATTTGAAGGTGGCAAGGAGTTTGATAAGATCTTCGATTTTGATAATATTCATTTGGACGAACTGGAAAGACAAAGAATCAGAATAAAAGTAACCAGAACTGTAAGCCAATTTATCTCGGCTCCTGTCGGAGATACCAAAAAGTTGTCAACTGATAAATTGTTTCCCATTATGTCAAAAACATGTTATGAGTTGGCACATTTTAGATAACTATTACAATAACCGAGATAATTAAGCTTCAACATGACAGTGCCCGAAAACATACCGATTGACAAGATTCCTCATGCTTAATACATTGTGCGGTTAGAAGAGATAAAACGCGGCTTGGAGGGTCTGAAAATGTGGGAAACTAACTAAAAAGAGCTCTGAAATTTTCAGAGCAATCTGAAAAGAGTCTCGTACCTCTCTTCCAATCCGAATGATCCATTTCCTGTGCCGCAAAAGTCCATGCATAGAGATTTGCAAATACTAGAGCTCCAAAAAGAAAAGTGAGGATTCTCATGGTTTTCCAGAATAGAAAAGGGAATATTCTGGAATTCTCTTTCTCTACAGTGTGAAATTTGGAAATTGAGAATTGAGGTAGGACTAATGACATGGGCAATGTTTAGATTAGAAGAGAAAAAAGAGTAGGGTCAGGTGAAACTTGATAGGGGCGGAGCCTAGAGTAGGTGGATGATATAAACAATAACAATAGGTAGAGGTAGTTGATATAAACACAAAATGTTTAGAATTGTGGGAATTTTGCAAAATTGGAATGACTCTATTTCTGGTATTAACTGGTCAATAAGATGAAGTTAAACATGTTTTCAGTTGATTTTCAGGAATCAGGAGCTCGGATGTCAAGTTTTTGATCTTTTTGAAAATTTTAGAGGGTATAAAACAGATCTAGATTGAAAAATTTGCGTTCACAGAAATTTTGGAAAATTCCTAGTCTTTCAGTTATTTGCCTATTTGCAAGGGAATTTCAGAAATTGGCGAAAAGCTGAAAAAGGGATTCTCAAAAAAATTCAGTGAATGCAAAGCTTCCAATCTAGGTCTGTTTTTCACCATTCAAAAATTTCAAAGTAATCGGAAACCTAAATTATAGGTCACAATTTTGGAACATTCAGATTCAACCCCAGAAGAGGAAATGTTAAAAATTTGACAACAGAAAATTTCCCTCTCAATAAACTTATGTACGGAAAAGCTACAAAATTAAACTTTCTATTTCAAGTTCATATTTGAGATGATTTTGAAACTGAAACATTATTTTTTCGATCTGGAATCTTCTAATTTTGATGGGAGAATCGTTTCTCAGAGTTAGTTAGTGTTTAGTTTTAAAAGTTTAAAAATCAACAAAAAATATACAAAAAATCATACTTTCATGAACACTATTAGTTATCCGATGTTTTACCTTTTTTGATTTATGCTTTAACTCGAATCTCTTGAGAAACCACAATTAAAACTGTTTGATGAATTGTGTAAAATATAGAATGGTGCTTAATTATTGTAACATTTTTAAAGTTGAATATCTTTTTGAAGGGAATTCAAACGTTTTCCATGCACAGAAAAATAAAATTTTACATATTTGAGGACAACAAATCAAAAGGGGTAGAGAAAATGAAAAAAGAGGTGTAGAGTTTTAGAGTTAGTAGAGTAAAAGTACATATTTTTGAAAAAGGTAATGTTAAATAGGGTTTATGCCGAGCCTTCGCGGGATCTGCCATAGTTTTTTTTTCAGAAACAATATTTTTTGACAAACTACATTATATATGATAGAACTCTGCGAGTTCTACAAAATGATATTATTTGGAAAACTGTGTCTTGTTTATGAACAAAGTTACAGACAAAAAAAAACAGAGGCTCGGCCCGGCCACTTTCTGACTTGTAACTTTGTGCATAGACATGCCATAGTTTTTTAAATAATACCACTTTGTAGTACTCGCCGAGTTCTATCATATCTGATTTAGTTGATTTGAAAATATTGATTCAAAAAGAAACGATGGCAAGGAAAGGATGGGATTAACAACAACAACAACAACAACTAAATGCCTAAATAGTGAACATGTGAAACGGGAAAATATATATGTGAGGGAAATAAAACAGAATGAATACAATCTTTGGTGAAAGTAATTAACGAGCTTACTATTAGAAATATCTTTAAAAAATGTGTTATATCTCGGACCACATCACAACTGAACCAGCTCATTAATGAGGAATTACAGTAAAAATACGACTGAATTCCTCCGTAGGTCTCCAGGTCGTGGTATTAGTTACAGTTCTTCTGAAAAACGTTGATCTTGAAAAATGGGAATGAACTTTTTATACTAATTATCATTTAAATTATCTATTGTAACACATCAAACATATCTTTCCGGTTTGCCAAAAATTCGTTTGAATCTCTCGTACTTCGTCTCTTGTGTGAAAGATCGAACAGGGGTGGTTTTTTGTTTGCTGGAATTTTTTCAATTTTATGAATTTCTTCAAATTTGAACATTGTTTCAGACATTACCAGATTTACTATTCAATTCAAGTTGTTACAGAACCTAATTACAGCTTTTCCCGAAAAAACTAAATTTTTCAAAATTTTCAAAAAATTTGAAGCCATTATTAAGCTTCTTCAACTATTGAGAAGGCTTGCACTTTTAGGAGTTTTTTGACATTTTTTTTGAAAAATGCTTCAAGAAGTATTTCGAAATTTCTCTCCAAAAGTTTTTGAATTTCCGCCCAGCTGACTTGTTATTTCCGGTTGTTTACCCTGTGCGGAGTTTCGAGAAATTTTGTTTTCAAAACAACTTATTTTCCCACTACTACAAAAATTCGTCACATTTCCCAGCATTGCTAAAGGTTAGGATTTTCGGTATAAAAGGGAAATTTGCGTGTTTTGTCAGTTGAGGCTTAAACTTGCTTTTCTCATTAAAGCGCATTTGGAAAATCTCACCTCCAGCAACAAATGCTGCATTTCTTCCTTGAATTATTTTTCTTTTCTTTTTTCTGATCTTCCATATGCCTTGCCCGCTCATCCCTGGTATTTTCTGCTATCCTATTATCTTCCTCAGTTCTGAACCAGGGTGAATCTAAATGCGTTCCAGACAGATTCATCTTGTTGTACATTTTCCCGAATTTTCTGAACGTCCAAATCCATAGCCAAGGAGAAATCACTTGGTATAGTATTGTGGATAACTGAAAAATGTGTTTCATATACTCTACAACTACTGTTTTATTGTATATCAACTACTGAGTTTGTAAAGATCTCCGCAAACCCAGGATAGCTCATAGCTGTCAAATTTGACCCAATTTTTTTTCAGTTTCTGTGAAAGATTTCGAATAGTGATCAACTAACAATATATTTGGCACAATAATACAAGTGTTTTATCAGTTGAAGACATTTTGATACCTTTTACATGGATTGAGATAATTGGCGAGAAATTTAAGTAATTCTTTTCGGCTCTAATTGTTTTGGCTCCTGGGATTGTAGGTATGATAAAGTTGGGTAAATACAGTAAAACAGTGAGTAATGAAATAAAGTAAGTAATACCGTAAATGACAGTGCACTGTTGGTAACATTTTATGACCTTGGTAATATTTTGACATCTTTCACAGAGACCGAGATAATTAGTGTCAAAGTGACAGTATTATATGGTTTCCTAGTGAAGTAACACTTGTAAAAACTAATACACTTTGTATTATAAATATTCAAAACTATCATTTCATTAATTGCCAATTTTTATCAGCTCTTAATTCATCACATCGTTCAACCTAATGTATTTTCCTTTTGGAAAGCGTTAAAAAATCAAATTACCGTATACAAGGCCACCTATACTCACACTTTGAGCTGAATTATCTCGATCATCTCGAAGAGATATCAAAAATTGGTCAACTGACAAAATGTTCATCATAAAATCTAAAATGTTTTGTTAGTATCTGTCACAAGACTCGAGTTAAATTGGCTAAAGGGAATGTTGGCGGCATTTAGTTCTCTTCACTCACATTCCAAATGTAATATTCACTCTCTGAAACTTTTTTCTCATCCTTGAATATAATCCGTGTTACCATTCCCATTTTTGGGATATTGAAAACCATATGAAGTGCAAGATTAAAAACTACCAGCCACCAGGACACTGTAGATTCTCTCTTTTTTGCGATAAATCCATGTTGGAGGTGTCCGCTGAAATAATGTTTTTTTTTCAAAAATTAAAAGAAAAATTAGGACTAATTTTTCTTTTGTTTAGTATTTCCCATAGTCACTCACGTTGGTTGTGGAATGGATTCATACCAAGACCAAGATAAAAAAGCTATGCATACCAATAAATCAGGGAGAAGAATAGCCTGAGAATGTTCAATTTTTAGACCGTTCTTCGCTATGTCTCACCAATTGATTCACAACTGGATCCCACGCATTCCTGTCTCCAAAAAAGGAGCAAATCAATATAAAATGTCTGTAGCAAAAATCTTGATAAAATGCGACCAGAGTAGCAAAGATAATCTAAAATATTTCTCCTCATTGTTTTTCAGAAAAAAGCGCTCACCGAAAAGACAATGAGAAGAAACGAAAAAAGTTTTCGATGACTTTTTTCATTCAGCAGAATTCGAAACATTAATGTAACGAAAAATAGTTGAGAATCTGATATTGTTTCATTGTTTTGGATTACTGTAGTTAAGCGAACTTACAAGTTAGTGAGATTGTCTCGCAGAGCTTAACGATGACACAGTACTTCATGGGGATCATTCCGTATAGATTCAAGATCTGGAAAGTATAAGTTTGGAAATCCTAATTATAATTTTTTGAAATGGTTACCTGTAGAATTATATGAGCAATACAGTAGATTGCTCCCGCAATCGCCTTCGAAGCCATTAGATACTGTAACTTTTTTCCTTTATTCATCTCAAATCGTTCTTAAACCTAACCTTCCACGAAATCCTATATTTTGCCTCATTAAAAAAAATGTTCACCATAAACAACTGGTCAAATAAGCCAATTAAAGCCAATATTATATGAAGAACTCGAAGTTCAACAGTCGGTTCCTCAGATGTGTAGTTTGTAGTGTCCATAATTATTTTGTAGCTGAAATTTGTAGCTATAATTTATAAAGTATAGAGTATATAATTAGAGTTTCGCTTCCAAGAAAGTCAGAAAATTTAGAGCGAGATAGTCCAAAACACAAAAAAACATAATAATACCCTATTTGGGTTACTAGACTACATGTAAAACCGTTAGAATCAAAACATTATCTTTCCATTGAAAACTTTGTACTAATAAATACTTTAAAACCTGTATTAGAAGGACCTCTGACTACAGTAAGTCCGCTCTAGTGAACCGTAAACACTCTATTAAAGGGCCAACTAAACCGTCAGCTTTGAGACAATTTATGTCGGTTTCTGTGAAAGATATGAAAAAGTAGTCAAATGATAAATTTTTTATCATAATTTCATAATCACTTTATCAGTTGATACATTTTTGATATCTTTTACAGGAACCGAGAGGGTTGAGCTGAAACTTGACGGAGTGGAAACTTGACAGAGTATCACAGGTTTTACGATAAGAACAAATGTTCACTTTAAAGGAGGGCAGACAGCAAAAATTTCGGGGAAAATTTCAGGGAATGTGTATTTTGCCGTCGCGGTGTTCGCACCTAAAGCACGCAATCCCACGCGCAAACATTTTTATTTTTTTATTTCCCGACTTTATTTTTTTCAATTTTTAACGACTTCAAACATTAAAAAAGCTCTTTTTTCTTATTTATTATAAAACCCATATAAAAGTGATTTTTTTATGTAAATTTAAAGTTCTATCGACCGATTATTTTGCCAGTCGCCGGTGTTATTTATAGGCATGCGAAAAAAACTATTTTCTCTTCGATAACCGTTTCTTCACTGTTCCTATTTATCTCATTACTTCTCGTTATTACTCTAGGAATAAAAACTGTTTTATGACTAGGGTTTTCAGAGACGTCTCCATTTTTACTGCTTCCTTCACCTTCCGACGACCAGCCCTGCACGAGGATTGTTTTAATTATGTGGTTTTTCTTTCAATTATTATGTCTCTTTCTAAAAATTAATTGTAGTTTTTTTCATATTTTATTTGTTAACAAAAAAACAATAAAACAAGTTTCTTCATTTTCAACTGATTTTGGTACTTCGGAGCGAGGTCTCGGCGGCACGCTGGTAGCCCTTCAGAAATTCCGAGTTCAAAAAGTTCAATCCGAAGGAAACAAGGGAAGAAAAAAGTAAAAACACCAGCAGGGATTGAACCTCTGACCTCCTGAATACTAGCCTAGAGCGTAGCCACTACACTACGCGTGTAAGAGGCGACCATCGCGTTTTTCACATTATGAAGCGACGCCGCAGCAGCAAGCTAGTGAAGAAATTAGGGTGACAAAAAAGAGCATTTTTTCGTCCTTGAAGTGTTTTTTTCAGGTTTTTAAGTACATAGCTATATTTATACTTCAGAGTTATATCTTTTCAGTAAAAATGAAAATTTTGAAATTTTTGATGTCTACCCTCCTTTAAATTTTAAAAGCCAGTCATTACATCGTTGGTGTGCAATTAGAAGATTTATTAAGTTTAGTAATCGACATCAATGTAAAAGTTGTAACTTTTTCAAAGTCGCTACTGTTTCATTCAGTTGATAAGGTTTTGATCAGTGATCGAAATTCCAGTTACTGCTTTATTTATGTCAGGTACAATGCAAACAGATCCATTCAAACTTCATCTAGGCCATAGTAACGAGTCCGGTTTTAACACAAATCAGTTTTTTTAATGCTCGTGACAATATGTTCTAGCATACTGTCTTTTCTGGAATCGACTTCTTACGAATTCGCTTTGATATACGCCTTATGCTATATTCTATTGCTGATCCGATATCAATGATTACAGGAGGCATGTGACTTTACTACAACTAGCGATGACTCATGCATAGGCTTACAGTAATCATATATGCTATCCAGCTCACCTAGTTATCCTAGACAACGCTAGAAAAGCAACAGAATATCAGTAAATAATCAAGAAATTTCAACTAGCAAGCAAGAAGTTTTGTTGTTTACTGCCACCAACAGCAAAGTAGTAGCAGAACTGAAACTGCGAGGCAACATCTCTCGGCGCCAGCTCTCTTAAAAGCAGAAAAAGCAAAAACGAGAGTAATAATCAATGGATCTCCTGCCCCGCGACGTCTGCGGCGTTTATTGGAAAGCGCGGCGCTGATGTTTGCTAGTTTCAGCTACATCATTGTTTATGTTCTGTGGTTTGTGTTGATCATAGACATCCTTGGAAGATAGGGTATAGTGAAAGGGTACGGTAGGACAGGTGATCAGAATACTTATGAATCACCGATGACTCTGAAAAAGAGAGAAGGGCGTGAATATAGAGATGTATTTCGATGGTTACTATAGTTCCAGTGTATTACTGTAGTACTGTCAAGCTACTGTAGTTCAATATAGTTACTGTATTGCGGTGGTTACTGTAGTTCCAGTGTATTATTATAATACAATGTAGTTACTGTGTATTACGGCGGTTACTGTGGTTCCAGTGAATTACTGTAGAATAGTGCAGTTACTGTATTCCGGCGGCTGTTGTAGTTCCAGCTTATTATTGTAGTACAGTGTGGTTACTGTACTACGGTGGTTACTGTAGTACAGCGTCGTTACTGTGTATTATTGTAGTTACTGTAGTTACTGTATTAAAAGGGTTTCAAAGATGATCTAGCCATTTTTATACCTTAAACACTTCAACATAAAGACCCTCCCACTTCTAACAGAACAATTTCGGATCTGTGTCTTGAAAAATGGAATCCCAGCCTCTAATTGACTGCCATCTAATAGAAGGCTACTCCAGCTGTGGATTGAATTTACAGTGCCATGATATTAGTTTAGAGAGCTCACGGTAAATTAGGATATATTCACATGTGCTTTAATGAGAGGGTGATGTCACACTTTTCCTATCTCTCCTCTTTTTCTCTCATTCTCTCGCTAGTAAATTTCTGATTTTCCTGAAATAATATTTTCAGAAATTTCACTCACTTTGTTTCTCCGCCCATTTCATAATTGTCATCTTTCCGCTAAGCTACGCCCAGAATTAGATCCCCTCCTCTCTAGAAATAATCACATCCTGCCTTGTCTAATCACTCTCTGTTTTTCATAGAATCACTTTTTTTTGGTGAACTATGTCCTGGGATATTTATAACCTTTCCATACCAACAATTTGTGTTGTTATTGAAATTTCAGGGGTTTTTGGTTCTTGTCATTTCGAATAGGAGAGTTATGGTAGTCAAACGATTTGAGATGTGATAACCACTTTTTTGAATTTTTGACCTTTACTAACTTTTTTGAAGAATAAACTAGTTTTAAAGAGGGGTCGTGTGGGGACCATACTCCGGAGGTACATATATCAAAAGAGGGTACATTATGCTCAGGAGGTACATAGTTTGAAGGAGTACTTCTAGGTAGTTGTCTCACTATAAGGGAGTACATCTAGGCCAATCTCAGCCTAGATCAGTGTGCCTTATCGACAAATGATTTGTCGACAAACGCCCTTTTCGACAAATTTATCGACAAATTTACCGGTAAATTTATCGGAAAATTACCGACAAATTGTCGACATGAATTTTCTAAGCCACGATTCTTTTTAGCCTAGAAATGATCTGATGTTCACCTGGTGTGTTTTTAAGTCATTTTAACATGGTGGCCTAACTTTCGCGCGTTGAGTTTTCTAGGCCACCATATAAAAATGGACTAGAAAACAT